GCATATAACCAACATATCACAACCCATTGGAGCATAGAAGATTAACACATAGAACATATCAAAACACGAACAAGCTCAACTCTAACTGAATGACACCCCCTCATCACTAACAGTGTTGAGTCAACAAATTCGACCAGGTGTAGAATGCACATCCTCATTGGGCCTACCAATGAAAACCCAAATCAACTCCAGTCATACCCAAATGGATAAATAACCCTCCAAAAGTCCACAATGACCTAACCATAACACATACTACTATCTGGCTAATTTTGGCCACATCTTCACAGTCCGCAACCACAAAACAATCTGCTTCTGAGAACTCCCAGTCTCCAAATCCATAGAACACATGAATCACCATAGTCGATACCAACTCCACCAATCGAATGACTAACACATCTATCATACACAATCATCCAACGAGAAATATTTCTATAATTCTCTCGCGCCACATAGCAAAATCTGAATAACAGCGGTCGATCAACCAGGCGAGTACCGCAATACCAATGAAGCATCTGAAGTCAGAACACATTGCGCCTTCTGAAATGTGCACACTCCTCAAGTAATACCAACTAGTAATAATATTTATCTAAATATCTGAGACCGTCCATACTGTCTAAAATTCATGACCTTCCCTCCAAAATTGAGCCGCTACCTTGTACATGCAAATCTCAATCCCACCCGACACACTGTACCTATCATGCCATCATATGGAAACATGAGAACCCCATTATCAACTCTGAGTTACAAGCATAATACATACTCAATTACTAGAAACCTTCCTCTTTATCTCATCCAGGAGAAAATCATAATATGCCACATACTCCTCATACCGACAGAAAATATCTATCTCAAGTCGTGGTAAGAATCATCGAGAACTCCTCGAAATCCATTAGCACATAACCAAACCATCAGTGTTGAATCCCTCTAACTCAACTAGGACACGCCAGTCGCCAAACCCAAGGGTATTGTCACAAAATACCCGTAAAGCCTCATCACATCATAAGAACCAAAAGAACCGATCATTTCCAATACCATGCCAATCTAAACCACTACCAAGTTGATCTATTTCTCCGAGTTCTTTCCGAATTACCTTAAAGTTAACACTTTTCCTTGCTCGTACACTATGATCTTTAACCAAAGCTCACCACAAGAGATTCTAGCATGAAACCACGTCGACTTGAAGCCCACATACTACTGTATTCCCTCATAAGCACCCAAAATAATGCATCCGAGTTGCCTACTTTGAAGAGACCTTATGTGAATCTAAAGTCATTTCCTTATTCTCTCTGATACTGAAATATAGAATCCTTATTATTACCGAAATACCGCGAATACCAACATCGTCCAATGCAAATCTCATATCTTAGCCATATACAAATCCGAAAAAATTCTCAAATGCCACATATGAACCTTGAATCCACTAGAATCTTCTCGAGAGTCATCAAGGCAATCAAAATACCGTTCCGGGGTCGTTCTCCCAAAACTCAAATCTCGGTCAATATTTCCAACTTAAGCTTCTAAAATAAAAAAAAATATTCTTTCAAATCAAATCTCGGAACACTCAAAAATCGAAACCGATAACACATGCAAGTCATAATACACAATATAAAGCCACTCAAGACCTCGAACCGCTGAACAGAATGCTAAAACTCGAAACGATTGGTCGGGTCGTTACATCTTTTAATTGGAAAAGGTGTACATGTTTAGGAATGGAAGCATCAAGGCCCTTTTTAAATTTCTTAAACTCCCTAAATTTATTTTCTCATTCCCTTCGTTCATCCCTTCGATCCCTTAACTCATTTTGCCTCACTCTTTGGACAGTCCTTATGACTTCAGGCTCTGAGTCTGAATCATTATAGAAATAATTTCTGCGACGATGCATCCTTCTACGTTATCCCCTTTCTCGACTTCGAGAACTCCCACTTGGAGTAATTCGAGTTTGTGCATATTCAATCATGTCTGAAATGGGACCAAGGAAACCACAAGCATGGCCACAATTATTCAATGTGACAACATATGTCAAAATAACTTGTAGAAGTATATTAATGTAAGGAAGCTAAACTAATTTTCTATATTAAGTAGACAGTGAGTTTTATAAAGGCCAAATCTCTAGCAATCACACAATGTCATGAACAAATAAGTGTGATAAAGACTTGACTTAGTGAAAATGAAGACTGTGTTAGTCCACAGCCAGCGATAGAGAGGAACATATGGTCATAGTCTTTTAGGACCAGTAAGTATCAGTATAAATGATTAAGACTTGACTAAGTTGCTTCTCATAAGAAACGATGAGTTTTCTGGTAGAACAATTCACTAGATATACAAATACATGGTCTTAGCCACTAATGGCCATGCAAGTGAAAACACACAAAGATAAAGCATTTTTAACTAAGTGTAAGAATTGTTACAGAAACAATTATGTAGAATTTTCTGTAAAGAATACTACTATATTCTTTTTTTGTAGTCTGCATCCAATTACAAATTAAAACTGGAAAAAAAATCTCACTTGCAAGTAGTCAAAATACCCATATTTTGTAGTTCCCTTTTAATTAATTCTAAGGTTCCTATTAGATAGAAACTCACTTTTCCAGTTTCAAGTGCCATATGTACATGAAGACTTCAATATAATTGTATAATAAAATCCCCAACAGGAGAAGAATGAAGTTAACGTAAATAACCTCAATCCATTGAAAATTTTTGTCTTTTATCTATGGGAATTGGAAGCACTTTAGGGTGATCATTGGACACAAGATGTACAATTACATTATATGTCTATTCCTTCAAAAACTCTTGGCCAGTGTAAAGCCACGTATTCCAGAAGAAATTGAACTTTGCAGAAACTTTTTGTTTCTAAGTTCCAATTTTTATTATGTCAAAATCAAATTTGATATGGCTTGATCCAAATTTGATATGGCTTGATCCAAACAATAGTACTTAACAGATGTCAAATGCATACTTAATTTTTTTCGTATTCTAACAGCGGCAAATTTTCAATAAACGAATTGATAAAGAACTTTATAGCAATATTTTTTAACTGTGAATTCAAAACAATAGAACACACAACAAAGGCTCTGATACCATTGATGATTAATATCGAGTAACAGGGACATCGAATTTGTGTACCTGTTAACAGTAGCGGATATTTTGCATAACCTGCTTCGATCAATTGATCAAGTCCGACTCGTCTCTCTTGGAAATAAAATATTGTTTCACAAATAGATGCTTTCTTCTTTCTTTTGGTATGTTTCTTTCTTTTTAGGGAGAATTGTACTTAGTGAAATCTCTGTTGACGGAGAGCCTTGAATATATAGAAAAGTTAAGTTGTCAGAGAAAAACTATCGATAAACTGATCCCATACTGATCCCACGCTCCCACTTTCTTTGCAACGTACGGTAGTTTTATGTTTAGGAGTTAAACCTTCTTTAGATAACTTTCTTTAATCATATCTTCTTTAAAACGGGTTGGGTCAGTCTATATGGGCATCCCAAACCCAATATCCAACACTTCCATAGATAAATTTTGACCACCAAATCTAAAAAAAATTATTCACAAGTATATTTTGACAATCAAATACCAAAAATTGACTTATTCTAAAAAGGTATTTCTTGAAAAGTATGAAGACGCCTATTAGGGCAACAAGCACACCTAAGAGCTAAGTAGGAGTTCAGGGCTATATCGTAGCAGGCCTATGTGCTAACATCTTTGACACAAGTATCACTTTATTTGATAATGAACTAGAGTAGTTAGATTACTTGTTAAGGACATAAATGCCCTATCCGCAAAAATCAATTACCTGCGTCTGCTCCCAAACTACAAATTACCAGCTTTACTCCTTACGCCAAAAGCTTAATATTTTGCCGGTACACTAGCTACAATAGCTTCATAGCTGGCTTGGCTCAACTAGCAAGCAAAATAGTCAGTGATAGTTTAAAAAAAAGAAAGAATTATTTTTTGTCATAATTGTTTTTTCCTTCTTTGTGTCAAGCTTAACGTTGTGTCAAAATTGCTTTTCTCATTATTTGTATTAGGATGGTCTTTAAAATAGAAAAGAATTGGCATACTTTTTGAAGCATTTGTTTTTTTTTTCTATTCACTTCTTTACTTTTCATGTAAAATAGCAGTAATATCTTAAATTTATAAATATATTGACTAAATATAATAATGTATTAATACCCTGCCCCCACACAAAAAAAAATAATTATTAATATATCAATATACTTTTATTTAATAAATCTCCATCGTATACTTTATTTATAACAACAACAATAACAACAACAACAACATACCCAATGTATTCCCACAAGTGGGGTCTGGGGGAGTCCGTCGTATTTTGCACCCCTAATGTGTATCTTTTTTTGTGATTTGCACCTTGTCCTATTTTTTATTACGATTTCAACTCTAACCTCTTTATTCCCTTGCAAAACAATAAAACCACCATTTATATAAATTTTTCATGAGGGCAAAATAAGAAATACAAATAATATGTCTTTTTTTTCCTTTTAAGTTATTTGTTTAGGGTAGGACGTTAATCCTAGCGAAACTCTTCCCGCCATCACCATTGTATAGTGAGAGATGTTTATTTATTAAATCAGTTTCAGCACTTGCTTTTCAGCACAGCTAATCCAAACGGGCTCTAGGTTAAGCTCTCCAAGCATAAAACGTGCTAAAGGCAACGTCAATTTTACCGAGAACAAATAGCACATCAAGTATATCATCAATGGATAAGAGCAAGGAGAAACGGAAAAGTCGATTGAAGAAGGAGAAGTTGAAAGGAAACAAGTTCAGAGTAAACAAATTCCATTCGTATGCTCTTTAATTCGTCAATGAGTATTGAATTGCCAAAAGCTTATTGTTTGCAATGCGTAAGATGCAATCCATCATTAACATGTTCTTGTCCCATCCTCTAGCTGCTATTGCTTTTCTTTTTTTTTTAAATAAATCACAAAACTCAACTCACTACAACAATGCACCAGAAAGAAAGGTTTGCAAATCTATCAAAATTTCAAACAACTCTGAATACTATCATGTAAATCAATAAAGAAAGATCAATTCATTTAAGTTCTTACTCTACTTTGGATAAAACAGGCCTTATTGAAAAGCTACAAATGCTTCTCTCCAATTCAATAAAGCATAATGAAAAATAGGCTAATCTGAACCGTGAATAAATAATATCCCCTCTTTGGAACAAATTAAACAGCAATCCTCAAGGCATCAAATATCATTCCTGTATCTTTCTTTGCCAACTCTGCTACGTGATCCCTCATGTGCCTCAACAAGTGCATTCTGCAGAAAAACAATATCCTTGTTCAAGACTTGACATTTAGTGGAATTATGCTACTCAGTTTTACTAAAAACAAGGGATGTAACCTTGTGTCAATTTAGCTTTTTGGTTGGCCGTAGTTGTTTACTTTTATTGAATATTCTGATACCAAAAGTAGTTCTTCAATGTGTATATTTTTTAATCTAATCTAGAAATTGAGCAGCCAAAATAATTTTAAACATTGCATTGTCACAGGTATGAATAATGAGCTTTCTACATTGAAGATTCACCATGGAGGTGAATTCTTAGATGTACCAGAGAGGATTTATTTGGGAGGCAAGATAGATTTTATTGATAAGTGTGATCCACATAAATGGTCATTGCAAACCTTGGAATGGATTGGAACAACGAGATTAGGATACAACAGCATTCTTGGTTGGCACTTCAAACTACCTATGACAGATACTCGTAATGGTTATATTCAATGCTTTACTAATGCTGATTGTGATCTAATGGTAAAAACACTTCCAGCTAATAGAGTTGCTGAAGTATACATTAGACATGCTGGTAATGTATCAAAAATACAAAACCAAGTGAGCCCCAATGCTAATTATATTTGTGAGGATAATGGGGTGCAAATAGACTTGAAGGCATTGAAGGATGGTGCATATAATCATATTTCCAAGTCTGCGGAGATAAGTATTAACTTAGATGACTTCGAATGGAAAGAGCAAATTATGGTGGGGATAAAAATAGTGATGTTTACCAAGAATTGGAGCATTTTGAAGGTGATGAATATCATATAAATGAAAGTGAAGAAGAGTCGAATGGTTTGGAGATAGATTTCAGACAGTGAATGGCTTGGAATTTGGGATAGCACTAGAAAAGATAAGGCAGCAATGAAGCTGAAAGGGAATGAAAGGAAGAGAGAATAAAAAGAAAAATCTAGTAGGAAATGGCGAAGTTAGTGTAAAGGGGAGGAAAGAGGGGAAGGAAAAAAAGAAAGATAAAGTGATGGAGAAAGCTAAGAGTGCCAATTTTGCCGGGTTACTACTGGAGGACTCAAGTACAGAATCTGAGAATGATAAAATCTCTCCTAAGTATGATTCAGATGACATGTGCAGTATTAATAGCGATGATGATGAAAAGGTTAGAAAGGTTGAAAATGTTGCATTTAGGGCAGAAACGGACATGGATAATCCAACATTTAGGTTGGGAATGACATTCATTGATGCAATAGAACTTAGAGCTGCACTGAGCTTATTCTATTAAAAATAACAAGAAAATTTCCTTCAAAAAAAATGAATCTGATAAAAATTTTGCAAAATATTGTGATCAATGTCCATGGCGCATATATGCATCTATAAAGGCACCAGATGACCCCACAATCACGATAAAAACTATAGTTGGGAAACATTCTGATCATTGCTTGTTTGTTTATGTCAACAAAAATGTGAAATCTCGAATGATTGCCAAAAGAATCCTGAATTATTTGAGAATACATCCAGATGTAGTATCAGTAGGAGATTTCATGGACAAAATACATGAAGAGATGAATGTTGAAGTTTCAGTGAGCCAAGTGTATAGAGCAAAGACAATAGCAAAGGAGATGATAGAAGGTCACTACAAAGAACAATATGCAAAATTAGAGGACTACTGTGCAGAACTCAAGAGAAAGAATCCAGGATCAACTGTATTGTTAGAAACAACACCTCATGAAGAGGATGGCAGACCTGTTTTTGAAAGAATTTACATATGTCTTGAGCCCTGCAGAAGAGGTTGGATGGCAGGGTGTAGGCCACTCATTGGGATGGACGGTTGCTTTCTTAAAGGACCATATGGAGGTCAACTTTTGACAGCAATTGGGATAGATATTGATAATGGTATATTTTCTATAGCCTACGCAGTAGTTGATATTGAAGATAAGCATAACTGGAAGTGGTTTTTAAATTTGTTGGTGGATGACTTGCAAATTAGAAATCATGATAACTTATGTCTCATTAAAGACAAACAAAAGGTAAGATTTTTTATCCACATATAATATCAAATTCTAGTTGCTTTCAATTATCAAAATTAGCCATGTTTACTATTCTCCTCACTTTTGTAGGGTTTGGAGGGAGCTGTTTTTGAGACAGTTCCCCAAGTTGAATATAGGCATTGTGTAAGACATTTGTATAATAATTTCAAGAAAGAGCACAAAGGTTTATCGTTGAAGACAAGAGTTTGGAAAGCTGCAAGGGAAACTTATGTAAGTATAGATATGAGATGGATATGCTGGAAAAGGAGGACAAAGAAGCTAGAAATTGGTTCAACGATAAACCACCCAAATTCTGGAGCAAGTCACATTTTAGAACAACAACAAAGTGTGACATGCTTTTGAATAATCTTTGTGAGGCATTCAATGGGACAAAACCCATTTTAAGGGCAAGGGAGAAACCTATACTTGGACTACTTGAAGGAATTAGAATATACCTGATGAAGAAACTGAACCAAAAGAGGGAAGACCTGCTCAAATACCAAGGTAATATTGTTGTTGTAACTTCTCTGAAGCACAAAATATTTAACATGATCCTAACAATATTTTACTATAACAGGAAATTTATGCCCTCGAATCCGAAAACTAGTAGAAAAAGTGAAGGAAGACTCAGCTACATCAATTCCTACTTGGGCTGGAAAATTTTTATTTCAAGTAAAGGCCATGTATGGTGAACAATTTAGTGTTGACTTGATAGAAAGAACCTGTTCATGCAAGGAATGGGACCTTACAGGAATCCCATACTCACATGCAATAAGCTGCATATTCCATATACGAGAGAATCCAGAAAATTTCATACATGATTATTACAAGAAGACTACTCAAATGAGGATTTATGAGCCAGTAATTGCTCCAATGGATGGACCTGATATGTGGGAACCTACTGAACCCTCCTAACTATGAGCCGAAGAAAAGTTGAACAAAAATAGAAGAAAAGAGCCCGATGAAATTGAAGCCTCGAAGAGAAAAGCAATTGAGATGAAAAAACTAAGAAGAGAGAAAAAGAAAAAACAATCTGCAACAAGTGAAATGCATGATGTTACCAAATTGAGTAAGAAAGGGAAGTTAGGGAGATGTAGCAAGTGCTTGCAAACTGGTCACAACAAAACAACTTGCAAGAAGAGTAGTGATTTTGGTGCCAAAATGCTACTCAAGCTACTCAAACAACTCAAGATTGGTGCCAAAATGCTACAAGTCAATCCCACCCAAGTAAGCAAATCAATTTTGAGTCCACTTATTGGACTAGACATATAAATGAACCTTCCAAACTTAATGTAAGTATGGAACATTAAATATAGGTGATTTAGTACTTTGAGAGACAGTTAATACATTTGTGTTCTTTATTTTTTTTCACAGCTAAGAAGGCCAATGGAGGATGATTCATCTCATAGGCCTGCGCGAGCTCAAGTTGGCGGCATTGTGATAAATGTTGATAAGTATATGTAGAATGGAAAAAATTGTATTAGCTTACAAACCCTTCAAAATACAAGTGCTACAGAGAAGTCCAAGAAAAAGAGCTTTGATGTGGAAGAAAATAGAAGCAATTAGCATATGAAATTGTCAGCAAGAACAAATTTTAATTTCATCACGACTTCTTTTGCTGTTTAATGGATATTTCCCTATCATTTTTTTTATATATAAGAGGGAAACCAGCAGCCGCTACACTTGGTGCGCACTGGGTAAACCTCCCTGTATAATAGCCTGCAAACCACACAGGGGAGATAAATCGCACTAGGCAAGCCATGTGCGACAGGCTCAACCCAGAAGGTATTGAGGGGGATTCGATCCCAGGTCATCCGTATGGATGGCCGCCCTCCAAACCAACTGGTTAACCCCGAAGAGATTCTCAATGTCAAGTTTGTCATTTACCTTTACAATTTAATTTTAGTATTTTTACTCTTCGAAGCTTATTTTCATCTCAATCGAAGAGGAACAAGATCATTACACAAGAATTTACAGCAAAAAAGAATAGTGCTATAGTAAGTAATAGCGATTAGCAAAAAGTACATTACGCACGAGCTCATATACATATACATTTACATTTCGAAATATACTAGCATCAATCTCATAATACTGGGCTATATTTATCTTTCAACACAAAACAGAGATTCTCTAATGACTACCCCAAAAACGTTTTCTTGCAAAAGAATAGACAGTAAAAAAGAGGAACTAGCTGAATATAGAAAAACTGACCTCCGAAAGGGATCCACCAGGAACGAAGTGAAGAAGTAAATGGCGAAGGCTTTAACAAGGTGAAATCAGAGAAAATATGGGGCGTTTTGGAAGATAACGCTTATAAAAATCGACGAGATGCATAAATCTTAACACCATTTCTGTTAATGAGACCTGGAAACACATCTTGGTCCTTTATCTGAGATTTCCCGGCTTCGGAGCTGCGGGCTAAACCCATGAGAAGATGACTGATTCATTGAGCTTGTCCATTTTAGGCGAGGTGAAGGAAAGAGAAGATAATTGTGACTGATTTTTGCTTTGGTCTTGAGCTTGTTGATATGCTCTAGGTGATGAAGCAAAGAGAATATTAGTACGACTATTGACTGATCGTTTGCTTTGCTAACCAAACCAACTCCTTTTTGTTTAATTTCTCTTTATTTATTTTATAATATGACACTCTTTTATTTTCTTTTTTATTTGTATTTCCTATTTTGCCCTCATGAAAAATTTATATAAATGGTGATTTTATTGTTTTGCAAGGGAATAAAGAGGTTAGGGTTGAAATCGTAAAAAAAAAAAAATAGGACATGGCGCAAATCACAAAAAAGGATACACATTAGGGGTGCGAAATGCGATGGACTGGGTCTGGGAAGGTAGTATGTATATAGACCTTACCCCTATCTTGTGAAGGTAGAGAGCTTGTTTGCAGAAGACCCTTGGCTCAATAAAGTAAAATCACAGCAGTTATGACAAGGAACAGGCTCAGATGTGCTGCTATATCGTCTGTGATCCATCGTATACTTTATTTGAATATGTAAAATAGTATTCTCAATATTCGTGATATAATGTGTAGTATACCATAATTACTATTTAATCAAGGTATACTTTATTTGAATATATTAACTGGTACTCTAAATATTTTGGTAATCATGATATACTTTATTTGAATATATTAATTTGTTAAATTGTGGTATACTACATCGTATACCATGATTACTTTTGAATTGTAGTATACGATTATTTTGTGCATACTAAGTGGTATTCAAATATTTTTAGTTTAATGTGTAATATACCATGATTATTGTTGAATCATGATATACTTTATTGAGTATATTAAATAGTATTCCCAATATTCTTGGTATATTATACATTGGTATACCATGATTCAACAATCATGATATTCCCAATATTCTTAGTATACTATTGTTGGCTTACGATAATTACTATCGAATCGTGGTATAGTTTGTTTGAGTATGTTAAATATTATTTTTAATATTCTTGGTATATCATGATTACTATAGAATCATGGTATACTTTATTTGAGAATGTTTAATAATATACCAAATATTCTTGGTATACTACATATTGGTATGCCATGATTAGCGTTAAATTATGGTGTTCTTAATTGTAACAACCCGATTTGAGTGTATTAGCCTCGATACCCTTTTTATTGCCTCATCCGTATTATATTGTAGTTCATGACTCGCCGTGGTGTTTGGTTTTGGTTTCGGGAGAGTTTTAGAGTGATATGGGACACATAGTCCCTAAGTTGGAAGTTTAAGTCGTAGGAGTTGACCGTAGTTTGACTTGTGTGAAGATGACCTCGGAATGGAGTTTTTGACGGTTTTAATAACTCCGTAAGGTGATTTTGGTCGTACGAGCGTGTCCGGATGTAGATTTGGAGGTCCGTAGGTCATTTCGGCGTAGTTTGGCAAAAAGTTGGAAATTGGAGGAATTTAGAAAAGTTTGACCGGGATTTAATGATATCGGAGTCGGATACCAATTCCGGAAGTTTGAATAGGTCTGTAATATCGTTTATAACTTGTGTGCAAGATTTAGTGTCAATCGGAGTTGTTTTGGTATGAATCGGCGTGGGTTTCGGAATTCGGAAGTTCATAGTTCATAGGCTTGAATATGGGTTGCGATTCGTTGAATTTATGTTGTTTGATGTGATTTTTGACCTCGAGTAGGTCCGTTACGTATTTTGAAACTTGTTGGTATATTCGGACGGGGTCCCGGTGGCCCCGGGTGTGAATCCGATGGAAATCGAATCATTTTTGGACTTAGTGATTTGCTGAAGTGTTGGGCTGGTTCTGGTGTCTTCGCATTTGCTGAGGGATTGGCCGCAGGTGCGGGCTCGCAAATGCGAGCCAATGGTCGCAGAAGCGGATTTTGTCTAGCCCATCTAGGATCGCAGGTGCGATCACTTATCCGTAGAAGCAGACGCGCGGATGCGGAGGCTTCCTTCGCAGAAGCGGAACTTGGGGAAACAATCTAAGGCTTGACCGCAGATACAGTCGTTTCTCTGCAGAAGCGGGCTCACTGATGCGAGCTCTTATCCGCAGAAGCGGAACCTCTGGACTTAAGCTTGGACCGCACTTGCGATGGTGTTTCAGCAGATACGGTATCGCGGATGCAACAAAGGGGCCCGCAGATGCGGTTTAACTGGGCAGAAAAGGGGATTGTCGAGGGTTTTGCTTCATTTTTCATTTTGGGATTTTGGGAGCTCATCTTGAGGCGAAATTTCGAGGGTTGTTCAAAGAAATTGTTGGGGTAAGGATTCTTAACTCATTTTTGATTAATTCTCATGAATCTACTGTTAATTACATCTTCTAATTAGTGTTTTGGAGTTTGATTTGGGAAAAATGGTAGAAACTCATTAGGCTAAATCTTTGGGTTTTGAAAAGCGAAATGAGATCGGATTTAGATAATTCTTGTATGGTTGGACTCGATATCGAATGGGTGTTTGGATTCTATATTTTTGGTCGAGTTCCGAGACGCGGACCTGGGTCAGCTTTTTGGGGCGATTTTTTTCAATTATTCGCTAAGATCATAATTTCATTATTTAAATTAGTTTCCTATAGTTATATTTATAGTATGAAATTATTTTGGCTGGATTCGAGTTGTTTAGAGTCAGAAAATCGAGGGAAAGGCATTCTAGTTGATTAATTTAGCGTGGTTTGAGGTAAGTGACTTGTCTAACCTTGTGTGAGAAAAATTTCCCTTAGGATTTGGTATTGTTGTTATAATTGTGATATGTGGAGGCCGTGTACACAAGGTGACGAGTATGTACACGGGCTAAATATTGAGATTCCGGTTTTAGCTACGTAGTTTCCTTTTCATGCTTTAATTGAGTTACTTTAGCATGTTATAGTCACCATGTTTAGTCTAATTTCACATGTCTACTTGTCTTATCTCGTTTTTGCAACTTGTACTACATGTTTAATTTAATTACTTGCTTTCTTAATTCTGTATTCATTATTTTTTAATTGTGAGATTCTTTACTTGAAATTTGCTATCCTTGAAATATCTTGTTGTTGAGTTTGGTGTTGAGTTGCAAAGGTCGTGATTTTATTGAAGCAAAGTGTAACTTGTGAAACATCATTTTATTAAGTTGTTATGTTTTGACACTTGTGTTATTGTTGAGAGGATTGTTTGATTATTTGCACGAGGTTTCTGTCGTGCTGCAGTTACCATATGCACGAGGTCTTTGCTGTGTCGTTGTTACTATTGATACGCATGTAGTGGTATAAGGTTTGGGTGTTGAAACGCAAGCGGTGAGATAAAGTGGGCTTGATACGCGTGGCTAGTAGGGGAACTACTAGAAGCCATGCGGTGTGATAAGGTGGGCTAAAATGCGGGGTGCTATTTCGGGGGAAAAAATGATTTTCAAAACTAAATGTAAAGGCCCCCGCGGTGATATAAGAAAAGACTGTGATTTACTTTTATGATTTGGGACTACGAGGCGGTACCTTGGGAGTGCCCCTGTTGATCTTTTCTCTATTTGCAGTATTTGTTTGGTTGTTGTTTTCCTTAACATTTAAAATCCTTGTCTTACTTTTGTGTCGCATTGATTGCCTTGATTTCGTGTTGTTAACTTTCAGTAAATTCTTTATTGTTTCACTTCCTTTGTCATTATCATTATATCATTCTATCTTCTGTCTTATTTCTTATTATCCCCAGTAGGACCTTGACCCGACCTCGTCACTACTCTACTGAGGTTAGGCGTGACACTTACTGGGTACCGTTGTGGTATACTCATACTACGCTTCTGCACATATTTTGTGAAGATCCAGGTACATCTTATTAGTCCCGGTATTAGCGCGTTGAGTTGCTTCATTTCGAGACTTCATGGTACACTTGCCCGCATCCGCAAGCCTCGGAGTCCCCTTCTACCCTGTCCTTCCTTGTTTCTTTACATTTTTTTTTATAGACAGTGATGTATAGGATTGTTCGATACTATACCTAGAGCTTATTGGGTTTATAGTTTTATATACGATATTATTGGAGTTTTGAAATTCTAAGCTTTTATTTACTATTTTCGCATGTTGTTTAGGCTTACCTAGTCTAGAGACTAGGTGCCGTCACAACATCCTATGGAGGAGAAATTGGGGTCGTGACAAGTTGGTTTGTACGGAGGTGTTATGAGTCACAAGCAGGTTTAGTAGAGTCTCGCGGATCAGTACGGAGACATCTATACTTATCTTCGGGAGGCTATAGAACTGTTAGGAAGAGCTTCACTTCTTTGATTGCTTATCGTGCAAAATTGTTGACTTTGGAATTCTAAACTTCTGTCTTTCTATTCTCTCACAGATGGTGAGGACACGCACAGTCGGATCAGATGACCAGACACCCGCGCCCCCTGCTAGAGCCGCGAGAGGCCAGGGTCGGGGTAGAGGTCAAGGACGTCCATGTAGTGCAGCCAGAGCACCTGCACGAGCTGCTACAGAGGAGCCACCAGTAATTCCAGTTGGAGGGCAGGCACCAACACTCCAGGACACTCTCCCCCAGTTTCTGCGCATGTTCGGCGCTTTAGCTTAGGCAGGGTTGATCCCACTTGCTCCTCCCACATCTCAGGCCAGGGGAGGAGCATAGACTCCCGCCGCCCGTACCCCAGAGAAGCGGGTCCAGGTTGACTAGGTCCCAGAGGTCATACCAGTGCAGTCGGTCGCCCCAATTCAGCCCGAGGTTAGGGCAGCAGTTTCTAAGGGGGAGCAGCTCAGGCTCGAGAGGTACAAGAAGTACCACCCTACTACTTTCAGCAGCTTGGCTTCAAAGGATGCCTAGGGTTTTCTTGAGGAGTGACACCGTATCCTCTGTACTATGGGTATTGTGGAGTTTAGTGGAGTTGCGTTCACTACGTTCCAGCTTAAGGGAGCGGCTTATCAGTGGTGTCGAGCATATGAGTTGGGTAGTCCGGCTGAGGCAGCTTCACTCACTTGGATTCATTTCTCAAATATGTTCTTGAGGGAGTTTGTTCCCCAGAGTCTCAGAGATGCATGGCGCACAGAGTTTGAACAGTTGCGCCAGGGATCTATGACCGTGTTGGAGTATGCGGTCCGGTTCAGTGATTTGTCTAGGTATGCACCAGCCTTGGTTGCTGCTATTAGAGAG